AAAATGGGTGAAAGAACACAAATTCCTATTGCAGCTGTGAAGAATTTTTTAAATCTTGGAATGTAAGGCTGATGTGTGGATTTAATTAGGAAATGTAGTTAAAATCCTTAGCCTAGTTCACCAAAATGTTCACCATTCTTATGAAATATTGTTTGTGGACTATTCTGGTTTGGAAGCTATTCTGGCATCAATTGTTTTTAAATGACCACCCACTTCTACGGTGACTGTGAGTTTACGGCTGTAGGTCATTGGGATCGAGCAAAGTTCACAGAAAGAGTGTTACAGTGCTACAACAACACCGCCTCAGCACTGGAGTCTTATATTACTGTAATGTATTACTATTTTCTGTAAATTAAAAATTATTAAATATTAGCTGCTTTATGTGGTTCAATCTAATATGACTGTGTGATCGGAGCCCATGCTCTTAACCACTACACATGGAAAATTACCCTTTCATCAGTTAGGGAAACCAAGCAACTTATATTATTTTAGTGGTTCAAGGAAGCCAAAGTTGTCAAAATTTTCTTAGTCCCCTGTCTAGATGATTTCATTAATTCATATTTATATACTTTCCAACTGACAAAAAATTTTCATGTACATGAACTTCTATTTAAACAATAAATATTTACTGAGGGTCTGTAAGGTTCACAAGGCAAGTGTAAATCTTTCCATTTTATAGATGTGGAAACTGAGGCCAAGCAGTTAAGTCACTTTCCCAAGTTCTCTCCACTGTTTAATGGTGATTCTGCACTCTAACTTTACAGAGCATGATGCCTGGAGTTTTTTTGCCTGGGACTTTAGTGAAAGTAAAGTGTTACAAAATCTGAGCAACTCAGTCTTACTCAGCTATATGAAAATGATAGCATATCCTTTTTAGGAAACGAGGAGTCGCTTGGAGTTTGATGATCTCAGCCAGTGGTGTCCCAGAAGGACAATTAAGGAAATATTTGAGGTCATGGATGCAAATCTGATGCCCACGAACACACACGCACACCCAGCCACACTCTCACTACAAGCAGCACTCACACACCCATTACTGAGAGGCGTGCTTCAGACCCTTCTGACCGTACGCTTCCAAGGGGAAGGCAGTTAACGTGGGTCAGTGAAGCCTATTGAGTCACAGGCAAAGTCTATAAACCACCACCACCAACTCATGCACATGGGTAACATACACATTGTAACATACACAAAGACAAAAGCAAACAATATACATTCTTGCTCTCACACACAAGTGTGTCACCCACAAACACAGCTTATATATGCACCAGCACACCGCTGAGCAGAGATTTGAGCCCTCTCTGACCTGCGTTTCTTGGTGAGGTCAGGCATCTTCTCCAGCAGCGGAGACAACTGTCTCACTCCCAGTGCTGAGCTCTCATCCTCTCAGCTGTGTTGCAAGTATTTAAGACCACAGGCATGAATCAGGGGTCCCCAGTCACACATTAGGAGCCTGATAACTTGGTCTGCAGGTACTAAAACAGAACCCAGATTGGGGCTAACTCAGGAAAAGAATCAGGCTGAGAGTTAGATGCATAGTACACACAGATGCATGCAACTATCAAACAAGACAAACAAGCATACACACATGCATGCACACACACAGACAGACACGCACCATGAACACAAAGGCACACAAATCCACAAGAACACAAGCAGATCTTTCGCCCAGTGCAGATTTCCAGCTCCCTTTGACCTGTGCTCATCACTGGTGACCTCAGACATCTTCTGCTTCAGACTGTTGCCCAAATCCTCACTTCTCTTCAGGAGACTCAATATCCTGAAAAATTGTAGAAATATCTGTGGCCTCAGTGCTTCTACAGACTTTCATGTTCCTTAACCAGCTCGAGAGAAATGAGTCAAAAGATAACATTTTAATTACCAGTGCAAAGACTGAAACAAAGTCCCCAAGCTTCTGACTAATTTCTTACTGCTCTTTGGTGGGCAGCATGTCCAGGAGCCAGAGGGACTGAGTCCCAGGGGACAGTGTCCCTGATGCCATTGATGCCCTGTACTCCTTTCTTCTTGGACATGGCTCCAGCTGGGACAAAGGATTTTTTGTCTTTTACTAAGATTTCGTCTTTTATTAGATTTTTATCTTTTTATTTTGAAATTATTTTAGACTTATAGAAAAGTTGTAAAAATGATAGAAAAAATTCCTATGCACATTTTACCCAGATTCCCCAATGGCTAACTTTTACTGTGTTTACTTATGTGTGTATGTATATTTCAGACTTAGATTTTCAGCATGTATACCATAGTGCATATTATCAGAAGACACATGTTATCCATTATTCCAATTCTTAGTGATTTTTATCCTTGATCAACTGGTTAAGGTCGTGTCTGCCAGGTTCTCTACTGTAAAGTTACTATTTTAACCTTTGTAATTAATAAGTATCATTTTTGTAGATATTTTGAGACTATATAACCATAACTTTTTTTCTCATAAAAATTTCACCCAGTATATTTAACATTCATTGGTGTTTCTTAAATGAAAAAATGATCGCACATGTGGTGGCCAAACGGTAATTTTCTAATCCTATCAGTTCTTCTATATTTATCAGTTGTATTGTGCTATAAGAAGGAACTTTCCATCAGCCCCCACTCATTTGTTTTTTCATTGTTTTATTTCTATATTTATGGACTCATGGATTCTTATTTATTTGAGTCCTAATCCATCCTGGTGTTCTGAAGTTCCAATTATTCCAGATCTGGCCAGTGGGATCCCCTTCAAGTTGGCTCCTGTGTCTGTCTGATTGATTGAGCACTTTTTACTTTCAGGTTCAGCAAAATTTTCTTGGATAGTCGTATCATGTCCTGGCCCCGGACTGGAATCAGCCATTTTTCTAAGTAATGTTCGTCCTTTTTAGAGGAAAATTGAAAAGGGCAAATTTGGCGTTAGGTGTGTTCATTGCTTACAAGGCTTCTAAATGATGTTAGAGGATGCAGCTGGGAAATATACATGAAAGAATGACAGGAAGTAGAAACTAGAGGCTAATAAAGTAAAGGAAAGGTTACCCATAGGAGATGGGTCAGGAGTGGAATAGAGAGAATGGAGAATGGGAACAGTATAGATATTGATATATAGCGCATAAATTTGAATCTGTTTGTACATTTTAAAAACCATAATTCAAGTTAATATCTTCAATTCTATTTGACACCACAGACTTCTTTCCAGCCTCTCCTTTTCCATGTACACGGCACCTTTCACCAATACTGAGGAATCATTCTCTTTCCACAATATGTTTATTCACTTAGTGAAATTTTGAATAAATGGTAAGCAATTTCAGAATCTTGAAGTCATATGACTGTTAATGACAAACTAACTGCAGCTGAAAAACTGCAGTTTTTCTTTGTGAGTGTATACACAAAATTCTGTGTTCAAGAATTATAGAGATTAGCTATTTTATTTTCCCCTTGAGTGTAATTATAGTAGTAATTTGCAATATAGTTAGGTTCATTTGTTTTCTTTTATTCCATTTTGCTCTATTCCCCACCCTCTTCTATTTACTTTTTAGTAGGTAAAAGATAACATAGTCAAAACTATACAAATAAATACACTTATCTCCACTTCTCTACCCTATTCCCACACACCTCTTGTTGGTATGCATCTCATTAGCCTGGTTTAGTCTTCTTGTGTTTCTTTTGGTTCAAATGGGCAGGTACATGTAAATTTTACATCCCCTTCATTTTTACAAAAAATGTGGTATGCTATAGATGTGCTTTTACACATTGCTTTATTCAGTTTAACAATATATCCTTGAAATCCCTCTATATTGGTTCATAGATACCTTTCTCATTATTTTATCTTGGCTACAAAGTACTCAATTGCATTGATGTTCCATAGATTTTCTTTGTTCTTGAATGAGATAGTCATTATAAATGTACTAAATGCCACTGAATTGTGTATCTCAAATGGTTAAAAGGGTAAATATCATGTTGTGTATATTATACTACAATGAAAATTCTTAAAGTAATAAATAATCTCACTGTAAAGCACAGAAAAGAATTATAAAATAATAATAATGTATAAGTAATAAGATAATAGATGAGGAATGGGGTAACAAAATATATATTTATCAAAAAAGGAGAAAGAGAAGACAGAATAAATATGAAAAGGATATCTCCAATAGAAAACATACAGTAATATGGAAAATATAAATTCAAATATATCATAATGGCATTAGAGGTTAATAGAGCAAATTCTCCAGAAATATAATGATTGTCCATCTACATAAAAAGAGCAAAACCCAACTTTGACTGTTAACAATAGACACTTCACAGATATAATGACACAAGAAAGCTTAAAGTAAAGTAATGGAAGAGAAATATCGTGTAAACGGTAATCAAAAGGAACCTCATATATCTATACTAATATCAGAAGAAGTAGATGGGATATTAAGGTAGGAGTCATTGCTAGAGATAAAGAGGACTATTTCAGAATTATAATCACCTAATTTTAAATGCAATGGTATACTATTAAATGCATAAAAAATGACTCTCTCTCTCTTCTTATGAAGACTTGCTCAGTAGCATTTGCCAATTTCCATAGCATCATTATTCTTATTATGGCTCACTTCAATCTACCTGCATGGTTTCATTGAATGAGGAGTTGAGAATAAATGTGCACAATCAGCTTCAATCCAACGCAAGCTATCTTCAGCACACCGCTACACAAAAGAATCAGCCCATCAGGAGTAGATCATGATGCTAAATCTGTGTGTCCTCAACAACATAGTTTAAAAAATACACAAGCAAAAACTGACATACATAAATGGAGAAAAAGACAAATCTACAACTATAATTGTATGACATGTTTTGCATAAGATTTTGAACATGTCTTATGAATGATGATGCACAAGCAGAAAAAACTAATTAGGGATAAAGAATATTTAACTCTCCAGGTAGCAAACTTGACCTAGTTGTCATATTAACAACACTTTATATGACAGCAGAATGCGTATTTTTTAAAGTTATATGGAATTGACAACTATACTGTAATTTTAGGAGACCCATGTTACCCTGATCATGACTGCAATAAAAGGATTTAGTGATTGTCGCTTAAAGAAGTTAGCCCTATTGACAAATATTTCTAGGGCCTGTTTTATATCTCTGTTCCTCAGGCTGTAGATGAAGGGGTTCAGCATAGGAGTAAATACCGCGTACATGATCGAGGCAATTATTTCTTTGTCATTGGAGCCCCATGATGAGGAGAAAAAGTTAACACCTACAAGTGTCCCATAGTATAAAGACACCACAAACAGATGGGAACCACAGGTAGAAATGACTTTAAAGAGTCTCTTGGTGGAGGGGATCCTCAGGACGGTGGTCCCTATACTGATATATGAACCCAAGATACTAATCAAAGGGAAGATAACAAGCATTCCTCCTTCTATGAAGATGACCAGCTCATTGATGGAGACGTCAGAGCAGCTCATTTTCAGGAGTGCATTGAAGTCACAGAAGAAGTGGGGAATGGTATTGTCACCACAGAAGGACAGTTGGACCAAGAGGAAGGTGTGCAATAGGGCATGTGCACAACTGAAGAACCAGGACCCAGCTACTAATGAGATACACAACTCCTGCCTCATGATGGTAGTGTAGTGGAGTGGGTGACAGATGGCCACATACCTGTCATATGCCATCACTCCAAGAAGGAAATTGTCAAGGCAACCAAAAACTATAAAAAAATACAACTGACAAATGCACCCTGCATAGGAGATGGATTGTTGCTGAGTCTGCATGTTCATGAGCATCTTTGGAACTGTGATAGTTGAAAGCGAAATGTCAGAGAAGGCCAAGTGACTGAGAAAGAAGTACATGGGGGTGTGGAGGCGAGTGTCCAGCCTGATGATCAGGATGATGAGCAGGTTCCCCAGCACTGTGGTCAGGTACATGCCCAGGAACAGGGTAAAGAACACACCCTGCTGCTCCAGCAGGATGGGAAGTCCCAGGAGTAGGAATTCATACACGCTGCTCTGGTTCTCAGGCCTCATAGTGCTCTTCTGTATGCTGCAGATGATGAAGGTTTGGGAATCTCAGGAACCAAGAAAGGATGATAACAACTGTCATATCTCATACTGTGATATGAAATTCTCTAGGAAATCAATGAATTTTTAACTACACCTCTATTAATTTCTCACTCCTGTGGATGCATGCTTCTCCACTCTATCCCACTCTGGTTCCATGAAAACATCACACAGAGAAGGAGCTAAAAAGACCTCAATGCACAGACACAAGAGCATGTTCACTGTTTTGTTCAAACATTATTTATTGAACATTGAGGCTGAACATGGACCTTGACTAAAGACTGAGATTGCAGCAGTGAACAGAAAGGCAAGGTTCCTGCCCTCTGTGAGTGTAGATCTTGACGAGCATAGATAGAGGGATAATTTGTTACACCAATGCAGAGCCAAATCACAATATTTCCCTATAGCAGAAATAGAAGATGAGCTTCAGCAAACTGTTATCAGTTGTTTCTGCCTTAAAGTAACATGAGACCCCAGTGCTGAGGCAGCATTGTTGGAGCATTGTCACAGTCCTCCTGTGAACCTGGCCAGGTCCCAGTAACCTACAGCTGTGAACTCATGGTCCCTCTAAAAGTAGGGGGACATTTAAAACCACTTGATGCCAGAATAGCTCCCAAACCAGAACAATCCACAAACTATCTTTCATAAGAATGGTGAACATTTTGGTGAACACTTGGGTACTGGGCTAAGGACTTTACCTGCATTTCCTAATTAAATCCATACACCAGTGTTACATTCCCAGATCTAAAAAGCATCTTTCCAGCTGCACTAGGAATGCATGTTCTTTCTCCCATTTTAGCTCTTAGGAAATAGTAACATAAATAATATAAATTCCGTATATATTGCCATTTTTTGTAGGTTAAAAATTGTAACATATTGACTACTTCATGTAGTTCTATATAATATGTCTGTGTGATCAAAGCCCATGGTCTTAACCAGTACACATGGCAACTTCCCCCACCATTGATTAGGAGAACAAGACATCCTGTGTTGCTTTAGGGCAATAAAGCAGCCAAAGTAGTTCAAAATGTTCTTAGTTCTCTGCCTAAATATTTCCCTTCACTTATATTCATCTATTTTCCAATTGACAAGAGACTCTCACATTCATTATCGTTTATTTAAGCAATAATATTTATTGAGGACCTGTAAGTTTCATGAGGCAAGTGTAATTCTTCCCATTTTATAGACTGAAAAGCGAGGCCAAGAAATTAAGTGATTTTCCCAAGGTCTCCCTGCCATTTGGTTGGGGTTCTGCACTCTAACTTCACACAGGATGACACTAATGTGTCTTTGCCTGGGACATTAAGTGAAGGGTTACAACACTTTGAATGACTCAGTCACACTCAGGTATATGAAATACATAGCAGATCCATTTCAGAAACAGGGAGTTGCTGGGAGATTAGCTTAGCTCAGTCAGTGGTGCTCCAGAGGAAGGTGCTAAAGGAAATATTTGAGTCATGGGGGAAAATCAGAAGCCCCAAGCACACATACAAATCACACACACACACACACACACACACACACACACACACACACACACTGCTGATTTGAGGATTCTAGTCACCTGTGACTGGTTCCCATCGTAAGGGAAGGATAGCCAGTATGTGGTTCAGTTCATAAACACTCATATACATACATACAAGTCAAAAATAACACACCAAGTGAGACATACACCACACACAATGATGTACCATCCCCCCGCAAACACACTCACAATGCACATCGACACACTTGACACGTGACACACATGGCAAACACTCAACTCAGCACATATACATAACTCCTTTCTATACACACATCACCAAAAACTCACAAGGCCTCATGGAAGAAACATGCCAACAACACACATGCACACTCAGCCACACACTCACACAACTGGCAGCACACGCACTTCCATCGTGCTTCGGCCCCTTCTGACTCAGACTCTTCCCAGGGAAGGCAGTCAGTATGGGGTAGTTAAGCCTATTAAGTCACAGACACAATTATTAAACCACCATGAACAACCCATGCACATGGAAACATACACATGGTGACATACACAGAGACAAAAGCAAGCAATACACATTCTCACTCTCAAACATGAGTGGGACACCCACAAACACAGCTCACACATACACTGGCACACTGTTGAGCAGAGATTTGAGCCCTCTCTGACCTGAGTTCCATGGTGAGGCTGGGTATATTCTTTTGCTGCATCAATGACAACAATCTCACTCCCTATCCCGAGCACTCATCTGCTGAGCTGTGATGCAAGTATTTAAGATTCCAGGCATGAATCAGGGGTCCTTATTCACGCATTAGGAGCCTGATAACTTAGTCTACATGCATTAAAACAGAACCTAGATCGGGTCTAACTCAGGAAAAGAATCAGGTTCTGAGTCAGAAACATAGTACACACAGATGCATGCAACTATCAAACAACACAAACACAAGCATACTCACATGCACGCATACACACACACACACACCCATGAACACAAAGGCACACAAATCCACAAGCACACAGGCAGTTCCATCACCAATGCAGATTTCCAGCTCCTTCTCACCTGTGCTCTTCATTGGTGAGTTCAGACACCTTCTGCTCCAGACTGTTGCTGAAATTCCTCAGCTTCTCTTCAGGAGATCTGGTATTCTGACAAAAAGAAATATCTGTGGCCTCAGCTCTTCTACAGACTTTCATGTTCTGTAAAAAGTCTGGAGCAATGAGCAAAAAGATGACTTAAGTACCAGCAAGAGGACAGAAACAAAATCTCCAGCCTTCTGGGTCAGGGAGGAGCCCCCGTAGGCTAATTGGCCAACGTCTTGCTGCACCTTGAGGAGCTGCATGTCAGGAGCCAGAGAGGACTGGAGTCCCAGGGGATGGTGTGCCTGATGCCAGCCATGCCCTGGACTCCTTTCTTCTTGGGCATGGCTCCATCTGGGACACAGGACTTTTTTAAAGATTGTAATAATGGCTTGTTTCCAAAGTGTTGGCAAGTTTAAGGGAAACTGTTAAGGGAGGGTGAGGCACCCAGGGCTAGCAACAGTGGGAAACACTTGCAAGTGGAGGGAGAGGTTATGAGAACCTGGTGAGACACGTAGGGGTAGGTGAGGACCCCTGGACAGGAACTGTGGACAGTCACTATAAACCCATGATGAGGCATGGAGAAAAAGGGAATAAATGCCCCGACCTCTCTGTCCTGCTTTTTGCTCTCTTGATTGTGTTTCCATTGGCCAAATCAAAAGGGCCAGGGAGCCCAGTTGATACAGTCCATAAGGTCAGATTCCTGAGACAAAACAGGGTAGAGATGGCTGGAGAAGGGATGTGGAGGAGCAAATGGAGACTACCTAGCACACATTGGTATAGATAACATTTTCTAGTTACACATTTGTGTGCCAAATTGTGAATGGAAAATATGCAGATGCGTTTTGTTCTACAGACATGCTTCTTTTCTTGGTGTAAAATTGTCTTACAATTTCATTATTGGAGACTGCTTAAAGAGCAAGGATGACATTTTATAGAATTGCTCTCCTGTGCGCTGCCTATGGTTCAGCACTTCATATTTTCTCTGACAAGGGCTACAAAGAGAATATTTTGGAGGATCATAATTGTCTGCCTGGATGCCAGCTTTAAATTTAGTGATAGGTCTGTAGGATATTCTATTCTCTCTTATTTAGTAATTATGGACAAATATTTTTTTAACTTTTTTTGTTGGCTGGGAAAGACTTGCCCTGAACTAACATCCTTTGCCAATCTTCCTCTCTTTTTTTTTGCGTCCCCAAAGCCCTAGAGCATAGTTGTATATTCTAGTGGTAAGCCCTTCTAGTTCTTCTATGTGAGCCACCTCCACAGTATGGCTACTGACAGACAACTGGTGTGGTTCTGTTTCTGGGAACTGAATCTGGGCCACCGGAGGGGAGCATGACAAATTTTAGCCACAAGGCCATCAGGGATGGCTCTTTACCTTTTTTTTGGAAATCATTTCAGACTTTGAGAAAACTAAAAATTGTATGAAAAATTCTCGTATACATTTCATCCTGATTCTCCAAAAGTTAGTATTAACAATGTTTTCTTTATTATTATGTAGGTAGGCATGTATCTCAGATTCAGGCTATAGATCTTTGGTAGGTATTCCACAGTGCATATTATCAGAAGGCAGCTGTTATCAATTTTTCCAATTACTGGCAATTTTAATCTCGGTCATTTCATTAGGATGGTGTCTACCAGGTTTCTCTACGATAAGGTAGTATTTTTATCTTTGAAATTAATAGATATAACTTGGGTAGATATTTTGAGACTATGTGAACATGTTATTTCTCCTTACAATTTCGATATAACATCATACTTAATAAGAATCAAATGATTCTTGCCTGAAACTATTATTGGAATTGTAGCGGCCAAATGGTGATTTTTGTCATTCCATCAGTCTTTCTACATGTATTAGTTCTCTGTAAGAGACAAGTTTCCTCTCTCTACCATTTTTGTAAATTTATTTATATCATTATGAATTCATAGATTCTCGTTTAATCAATGAGTTGTAATCCATTAGGATTGTTATGCATTTTTTAATTATTAAATTGAGGTCCAATTGGTTTACACATTGTATAGATTTCAGGTGTACATTATTATATTGCAGCTTCTGTATAGTCTGCATTGTGTTCACCACCAACAATCTACTTTTAACCCATCACCATACATATGCACCCTTTTAGCTCTTTTGCCCTCCCCCCACCTCCTTCCCCTCTGGTAACTACCAATCTTTTCTTCTTCTCTATGTCTGTGTTTGTTTGTTGTTATTCTTTCTGAACCTCAAATTATACCACATTAAGCATTTGGCAGCCCCTTTGAGCTGGATCCTGTGTCCCCATGATTCCTGGGTCACTTTCTTCCTCTCAGGTTCAGCAAAATTTTCCCAGATCATCTTTGTATTTCCTGGCCCCAGCCCTGGAATCAGACATGTTTCTAAGAAATTTGGGTTCCTTTTAGAGAAGAATGGTATTGACAGAGAAAATTTGTTGGGGATGTTCATTGCTTACAAGGCTTCATATATATATATATATATGAAATAGAAATAAGAAATTAATAAACTAACAGAAAGGGTTACTCCCAGGAAGTGAGTTGGGAATAGGGTTAAAATAACTGGGGATGAGAATAGAATAAATATTGATATGTAACACACACATTTTAACCTGTTCACATATGTTTTAAAAACCATGAGTTCAAACTGACACCTCCAATTCCAGTTTGACACCACAGAGTTCTTTCCAGTGTCTCCTTTTCCATGTATGTGACACTTTTCCCTGATAGTGAGGAGTCATTCCCTTCAACAATTTTTTTTACTTTTTCACTGAATCCTAGAATGTTAAGTAATTTCAGAATCTTGAACACATATCACTGTGAATGACAAAATTACTAACTGTAGCTATATATTTTTTATGCTTTTTTCTCAATTGTGAGGGTATAGAGACAAAATATTGTCTTCAAGGATTACATGGGTTATTTTAATTTCTCCTGTCTCATCATGTTACTCATTTGAAATATAGTTAAATTAATTTGTTTTGTTTTTATTTTATTTTTTCCTCCTATTATTTTCAATTATTTGTTTGTTTATTTATTTATTTTAGTGAGGAAGATTGGCCCTGGGCTAACGTCTGTTTGTCTGTTGCCAGTCTTCCTCTTTTTGCTGAGGATGATTGGCCCTGAGATGTCATCTGTGCCCATCCACCTCTATTTTGTATGTGGGATGCTGACACATCATGGCTTGATGAGTGGTGCACAGGTCCAGGTCTGGGATCCGAACCTGCGAACCCTGGGCTGCCAAAGCGGGGTGCGTGAACTTAACTACTACACCACTGGGCTGGCCCCTCATTTATCTGTTTTTGAGTACATAAAATATAATCTCGTCAAAATGTACAAACAGGTGTATCCATCTCCCCATCCTTCGCACATGTTCCCACCCAGCACTTAATGGTCTACTTAATGGTTTCCCATTAAGTAGATGTTGGCTGCATGACTATAGATTTTATTACATATAATAATATGCATAGTATAATATATATTTTACATGAAATATATATAACATAAATATCTAATATGTGTAATAATGTACATAATATAACGTTATACATAATAGAAATATATTTATATATCATGTATACTTCATGTAAAATATATATTTTAAGAGAGGATCCATCAATTCTTTTTTTCCTTAGTGTTATCAAATTCTGTTGAGGTCTTTTTCAGCATCTATGGAGAGAGTTACGTGATTTTTAACCTGAGATTTATTAATATGTTGTATTATATTAAGGACTTCCTAATATTGAACCAACTTCATATTCCTGGAAAAATCCCTCTTGCTTGCATATGTTGTTTTACTAATGTGGTGTTGGATTCTATTTGTTGATATTTTATTATGTTTGCGTTAATATTCATAAGTACTGTCAACTTGAAATTTTATTTTTGTACTTCTTTATCATGCTTACACATCAGCGTTCTATTTGTTTCATCCATAAAACAAATTAAGATGTTTTCCCTTATTTTCAATGCTCTAGAACGTTTCACGCAGCATTCAGACTATCAGGTGTTTGACCAGTAGAAGAATTCTCCATGAAACCATATGGGCCTGGTTCTGTTTTATGGAGTAGTTTTTTAATAGTTTTCCCCATTTATTCTACAGAAATTGATGTCTTTAGACTTTCTATATCATAAGGAGTCAATTTTGGTAACATGTATTTCCATGGGAAATTATCTAATTCAACTGAGTTTCCAAATTTATTTTCACGGAAGTGTGACTTTATTATTCAGATAATCTCCATAGGATACTGTTGTTATTGTTGTTCTTTAGTTCAATCAATATTCATTTTTATATTTACCAATCTTCTGAATATCTCTGAATTTTCAAATTTCTCCTATGATCTCTTTCCTTCTGCCTAAAGAGTTTCCCTTCCTGTTTCTATTATTATAGGTCTGCTGATAATTTTTTTTTAGTTTTTGTTTTTCTGAAAATATCTTAATTTTGAATGATATCTTTGCTGATGTGGTATTCTCGGTTGGCAGAGTTTTTTATTTTTTCACTCTGGTAAGGATGTCACACCTTTATCTTTTGATTTCTTTCAATCTTTTGTTGCTGCTGTTGTTAAAAAGTAAGCTTTCATTCTTATCAAGGTTTATTTGAGTGTAACGCTTGTGTATATATAGTTGCTTCTCAAAAGCAGGATTCTCAGCTTTCCCTCAAAAACTTGGTTGCATTTAGTCTTCCAGCTCCTCCAGCCTCTGAGCATCCTAGGTAGATATTGATAACTCAGCACCATGTTTGACTCATCACCCATGCTTTTGCTCACCTGAGAGATCCAGGATGATGTATTTGGAGAGGACCTGCTGGTAACTGTTTGAGAATGATATAACAAGAAAGAAGGCTTTTTTTGGGGGACCGGGGGGGGAGATTTGCCCTGATTTGCCCTAACATCTGTTCCAATATTCCTCTTTATTTACTTTTCCTCCCCAAAGCACCAGTGCATGGTTGTATATCCTAGTTGTAAGTCCTAGTTCTTCTGTGCAAGCTGCCACCACAGCATGGCAACTGGCAGATGGGTGGTGTGGTTCTGCAACCGGCAAATCAATTGGGCTGCAGAATTGGTGCGAGTGCCGAACTTTAATTACTATGCCATCAGGGCTGGCTCAGGAAGACTTGTGTTTAAGTGAGTTATGATGTAAGCAAAGACAGAAAACATTAGAGAGGAAAGAAAAGAGGGAGTATTTCACCACCAAAACATTGACATTCGCTATATATATGTATATTTTGACATTTGTTATATAGATATTTTTCTATATTTCTGTTTTCTATTCTGCTCAGAATAGTTTGTTGTATTTCTTCCCTATCCCTTTTTGTATTAATGTCTAACATGCATATACTAAGTGCATAAATCTGAAACGTTTGGCCTGATGAGTTTTTACATATGTGTACATCTATTGTAACTACCACAAGGATCAAGATATAGAAAATTTCTAGAACTCTAGAAGGTTTCCTCATATTCCTTTCTTAGAAGTAAATAAAATATAGAATAAAACAGCACATTTTCAAGATGATATCATTTATGCATATTTATTAAGAGTAGACAAACTCATATGAACCGATACTTTTTTTAAATTTTTATATTTTATTTGTTTTTTATTTATTTTTTAAATTTTTTGTTTATTGCAGTAACATTGGTTTATAACATTGTATAAATTTCAGGTGTACATCATTATACTTCTATGTCTGCATAGATTACATCATGTTCACCACCCAAATACTGATTACAACCCATCACCACACACATGTGCTGAATTATCCCTTTAGCCCTCCTCCCTCCCCACTTCCCCTCAGGTAACCACCAATCCAATCTCTGTCTCTATGTGTTTGTTTGTTGTTGTTATTATCTACTACTTAATGAAGGAAATCATACAGTATTTGACCTTTTCCCTCTGACTTATTTCACTTTGCATTATACCCTCAATGTCCATCCATGTTGTCACAAATGGCTGGATTTCATCGTTTCTTATGGCTGAGTAGTATTCCATTGTGTATATATACCACATCTTCTTTATCCATTTGTCCCTTGATTGGCACTTAGGTTGCTTCCAAGTCTTGGCTATTGTGAATAACGCTGCAATAAACACAGGGGTGCATGTATCTTTATGCATTGGCGCTTTCAAGTTCTTTGGATAACTACCCAGCAGTGGGATAGCTGGATCATATGGTAGTTCTATCCTCGATTTTTTGAGGAATCTCCATACTGTTTTCCATACTGGCTGCACCAGTTTGCACTCCCACCAGCAGTGTATGAGTGTTCCTTTCTCTCCACATCCTCTCCAACACATGTTGTTTGCTGTCTTGTTAATTATAGGCAGTACTCTCTTTGACATCAGTCTTAGCAACATATTTTCAAGCACTATCTCTGACCGGGCAAGAGAAACAATAGAAAAAATAAACAAACAGGACTACATCAAGCTAAAAAGCTTCTGCACAGCAAAGGAAACCATCAACAAAACGAAAAGACAACCTAACAATTGGGAGAAGATATTTGCAAACCATACATCTGATAACGGGTTAATCTCCAAAATATATAAAGAACTCATGCATCTCAACAACAAAAAAACTAACAACCCAATTAAAAAATGGGCAAAAGACCTGAACAGACATTTCTCCAAAGAAGATATACAGATGGCCAACAGACACATGAAAAGATGTTCAAAATCATTAACTATCAGGAAATGCAAATCAAAACTACAATGAGATATCACCTCATGCCCTTCAGAATAGCTATAATGAACTGATACTTTTAAGGAAATGAAGTTAAGAGTCATTGAAAGTCTATTGTGAGAGTGTTAGATTTTTAAACATTGTAAATTTGATTCATGTAAGCAAAATTTTCTGTGATACTCTTTTAGCTCCCTCCTTCTCTTGACACTGGGAAGCCAACGAAGAAAGGCAAGATTCTCTTGAAGATGGTGGGACTGGAGGAGCTTCCTTCCTCGCTACTTCCAGTTGGCATCCTCACAGACACCTATCCTCATCAAGCCCTTTGTATGTTGGAATAAGGCAATATACATTCTAAAAATTGTTAAGAAAATGGAAGAATCATTGAAATCAGTCTTGGAAACAAAAGCTTGTATATGTCAGCAGAGAGGGACATGGGATAGGTCAACATCCCTCTGCCATACATGCAGCCTAGATTCAACTGGACACTCAGAATGTCTGTCAACATTTAATAGTTTCCTTGTTCCTTTTAATATGTAATTGTTATAGATTTAGTGATTGTGTGATAAAAATCTTAACCCTATTAACAAATATTTCTAGGGCATGTTTCATATCTCTGTTCCTCAGGCTATAGGTGAAGGGGTTCAGCATTGGGGCGACTACCATATATATCACAGAAGCAATTATGTCTTTATCTTTGGAGATGGATGAGGAGGAAAAAAAGTAAAGGCCTGCAATGGTCCCATAGTATAAAGACACCACAAAGAGATGGGAGCCACAAGTAGAAAAGGCTTTGCAGAATCTCTTAGTGGAGGGGACCTTAAGGATAGTGGTACCTATCTGGATATAAGAGCCCAAGACACTACTCAAAGACAGGATGACAAGCATTCCTCCCTCTGTGAAGATGACCAGCTCATTGAGGGATGTGTCTGAGCAGCTCATCTTCAGGAGAGCAGGGAGGTCACAGAAGAAGTGAGGGATGGTATTGTCACCAGAGAAGGACAGTTGGACCAAGAGAAAGGTGTGCAACAGGGCATGTTCACAACAGAAGAACCAGGACCCAGCTACTAACGAGACACACAGCTCCTGCCTCACGATGGTGGTGTAGTGCAATGGGTGGCAGACAGCCACATACCTGTCATATGCCATCACCCCAAGAAGGAAATTGTCAAGACAACCAAAGAGTATGAAAAAATACATCTGAGAAATGCACCCTGTGAAGGGGATGGACTTGTGATCAGTGTGCATGTCCATCAACATTTTGGGAACTGTAGCAGATGAGAAAGAAACATCAGTGAAGGCCAAGTGGCTGAGGAAGAAGTACATGGGAGTGTGAAGGTGAGAGTCCAGCCTGATGATCAGGATTATGAGCAGGTTCCCCAGCACTGTGGTCAGGTACATGCCCAGGAAGAGGGTGAAGAACATGCCCTGCTGCTCCGGCTGGATGGGGAGCCCCAGGAGGAGGAATTCAAACACTCTACTCTGGTTCTCACTCCTCATGCTGCTCTTGTCTCTGCTGGAAATAAAGGAAAGCGGGAAAAGTCAGGAACCTAGAATTAGTCATAACATTATAGTAATGTCCTTTTTATGAAAATTATTAATTTTATGCTAGGCTTCTCTTTATTTTTCACTCCTGTTGATGCATGAATCACAAGTCTGTCTCATTCAGACTCTAATGATACATCATACCCTCAAATACCTAAGAAGATTTCCTTCCATAGAAACTACAGGACATCTTTTCCTTTATTCCACAAATATGTATTGAACAACCACCTTGTGCCAGGGACTATGTAAAGTACAGAGTACATAATAGCAAACTGGCAATGCAAAGTCTCTACGTTCAAGGAGTTTACATCTTCATATCAAGCCAGGTCAAACCTCAGTAACTAAGTGTGGTAAAACACGAGATGGGCACTAGGTGACATGTATTGGTCATTTCCTCTTAAAAGAGATGTGAAATTCTTTAAATTGGAATAGAATAACTATGACTATTTCAGGCTTACAGTGGAATTGGCTGGATCCTAACTGATCAGAGGTATTTAATGTTCTCTGTCACCAAAACTGCCCTTCCAGGTCCCAAACCAATATTAAAAATAATGCCAAATATTTGTCATTAACATACACTACGGCAGCCACTATGTCAAGTCTATTATATGCACTTTCTTTTTTTTTCAGATTATATTTATTTTTTAAAAAAATTTTTTGTTTATTGCAGTAACATTGGTTTATAACATTGTATAAATTTCAGGTGTACATCAGTATACTTCTGTTTCTGCATAGATTACATCATGTTCACCACCCAAATACTAATTACAACCCATCACCACACACATATGCCGAATTATCCCTTTCGCCCTTCCCCTTGCCCCCGGTAACCACCAATCCAATCTCTGTCTCTATGTGTTTGCTTGTTGTTGTTATTATCTACTACTTAATGAAGCACTTTCTATTTAAATTTTCACCATAGTCGTAATAAGTATTATTCTACCCATTTTAACTACGAGAAACAAAAGGATACATTACTTAAATGTGCAAAGATATGTTGCTCATAAGTAAAACAGGTGAAGTCATGACATATATCTGACCAGAATCCATCCTTTAACCTCTCTACTTAGAAGTCATTCTCCTCACTAGTTAGAATAAGAAGACATGCTGTGTGATGTCAGCTACCTTTGTCCAAAAGAGTCACCAATCATATTTATACATCGTGTAATTTACAAAGGGTTTCCACACATGGAAATGTATAGTCAAAGACTGTGTGGTACATAAGGCAGATACTATGTCCTTCATTTCATAGATGTGAAAAATGGCAGACCACAGAGATAAATGACCAACTGAAGTTCTCTCAGCTGTTTGACAGTGGATTCCAGATTTAATATTTCTTTGGAACTTAAGTTAGAGGTAAGGATTACCAGACACACACCCCTGAAGAGGGAATCAAGACTTACATTCTCCTCAAGTATAGGAGCAGGACAACGAGTGCTCCTAAGGAACCACAAACTTGGTCAGGGGCACTGGCTATCTCTGTTCATGGCCACAAATGAGGACAGTGGCTGACCCTTATGGGGAGACCTGGCTTCTAACTGACATATGCTGTGTCAGTCCCCACCAAGAAACCAGAAGAAAACAAGAGAGCCAGAACCAACCAGGAACCTTGATTCAGACAGGACCTTGTGGAGGAGGCAGCTGGGCCATGAGCTGTGGAAAAGACGTCATGTGTGACCTTGAAGTGTGAGAGGGAGCCTTTGAATGGGCCTGTTTTCTCTGACTTCTACCTGTCCTGCGCCAGACAACAGTGAAATAAGGAACCTCCATGACACAAACATTGGATTTGGGAAAAGATAATAAAATTCCTCCTTTTTACTGAGCACCAATTATGTGCCAGGCATGGTGTTGCATGATTTGTATGCATTGCCTCATTTAATCCTCCAAATAGCATCGTGAAGTAGGAATAGTTACCCCTCCTTTATCAGTGAGAAATCTGAACCTCAGAGAGCTGAAGTTACTTCCCAAGGTCACAAAAACATATAAAGGCCAGACTGATGATTGGGCCCCAGTCTGAAGTACTGCACACACTGGGCTCATATCCATGAGTGTATGACATCTGCCCGGTGGTGGAAATGCACATGGACCTGCCTGCTTAATACAGTAATATGGCCTTTGTTGAAAGACAGCTAAGGAAATATTTGAGTTCATAGGGACCAAGCAGAAGCCCTTAAATAACATCCAGGAAACACACACACACATGCATTTAAATGACTGATTTGTGATTTCTTGCCAAGTGTGACCTATATCAAACCTAAGTAAGAGATGGTAAGTGTGTGGTTTATTTACCCACACACTCAAGTGAACACAAGTCACAAATAATACACATATTGGACGTACAACACAGAAATAATCCATACAACCACACGCAAATACAAACATGTGTACAGTACAACACAAACATAAAATACCCAGAAACACATCTAAATCATATATCACAAGTATGTAACTCATATTCTGAGTATAGATTGATGCATGCAAGCACACACACAAAAGAAGAACACACAAGGTCACACACATTACACTAAAAATCAGACGAGAAACAGCACTGCACACAGATACCTCTTCACAGTCAAGCAACAAACAACACACATGGTCACACACGTAACTCTCATTGCAGAAGGATATGTTCCAGCCCCCACTGACCTGCACCCAACATAGGTGAACATGGTCAGTGAGTGACGCACTTGGGTCCCGTTCACTCACAGGTATCACCACACAAACACCACCTGCAAATAAAAAGTCATCAAGTGTACACACACATAGACAACACACACTGTAAACACATGTAGTCACACAGGAACATAATTCATAAACAAAACTCAAGATCACACACACTCATATGACTGAGTAAAAATTTCAAGCCCTCTCCCCATGCTGCTCGTGGGTAAATTCAGCAAATGTCTGCTCCAGATTAGGGAGCACATCTGTCTCTCTTCAGACTCTACAATGTCATTTACTTAACTATGATGTCCGTCCAAGGCACAAAATATGAGTATTATTGAAGCAGCGTGGCAAATATGTAAGATCAAAAGACTGAGTAAGAGACCTCAAATAATATGTGGAAATGGTCTGCACTTCTTAATGGGGGTTTATTTGGTGCTGTGTGCTCTGGGTCAAAGAGAAAAAGAATCAAGCTGTGAGTCATTTATATCTCTCTCTCATATATATATATATCCATATTAGACAAGCAAACACCACACAGATATGAGTGGAATACATATGTAGACCTCTAGACACAGAGACACACCTTCTCCACCTAGAATTCCCAGCTCACTCTGACCTGTGCCCGTGCTTGGTGAGCTCAGGCACCTTCTAATCCAGTTTCCTGAGTCCTCAGCTTCTGTTGAGAACACCAAGAACAAACACCTAAGAAGAAAGCCTCTGTGAGCCCATGAGCTCCTGAGCTCTCTGTGTCTGTCCTTGAGCTCCAGAGCAACAGGCAGGAGGATACCATCTTACAAACCACAGAGAGGACTCAGAAAAAGTCCCTAAGCTCCTGGTTAAGGAACTAATCAAAGTAGACTAATTGCCTCCAATTCCTATCAGAACTTGGGGATGAGCCTGTGCAGAGGCTGGAGGGATTGAGCTGCAGGAGCCACCTGAGAAGGTGCCCCTGATATCAAAGGAACCCTGGTCTCCTTTCTGCCTGCACACAGTTCCTGCTGGGAAGGAGAAATGGCTTAGTCATCCCCCAACACTGTTGTTGCCAATGCACTGGTCAGACAGAACTGGATGCTGGGCTCTGCCAGTCATTCATTGTTGGCCCTGAAAACGTAATGTGACATCTCCCTGCCTTGTTTCATCAGCTTTAAATAGCAGATACTAACAGTATTGTCATTATGAAGTTATTATTAAGGTTAAATGAGATAATGCATGCTAAAGTATATAATAAATACGCAATAAATTTCAGATCCTACTATCATTATCTTTGTATATTCCAATAAAAGAGAAATAGATGTACAGTCATTGATGTTGATACAGTATTGAAAGTGAATGAAACCCTCAGTTAATTGATTAATAATTTCATAAAAACTTACGAAGACCTACTTCCTCCCTAAGAAAGACCTAAGCTGCCCCCTCAGAACAACACAACTATGTGATACAAATTTCAATAGATCAGCCAATCCAAGTTTACTCCCTCTGTGTTTACCACGTGTTAACAGACACCCCCACAGGCTAGGTGGCTGCCGGGTTCCTCTCAGACTCTTCAAGAAGTGGACATTTGTACAGGATCCTTCTTAAGTTTCCCTCCTACACACCTTGCCCACCTCAGCTCCCACCCCCACTTTTTATTATATAAAATCTGCCTTACAGTCTGGGACACATTTCTTTCCTATGTCCCCCAAAATAATAGCACCTGTAGGACAGAAGTTCTGTAATTTATTTCTCCACCCTCCCCAACCATTCAGAGCCTAGCATGGGTCTGGACACACTGTAGGGGCTCCTTAGATGTCAGATTCTGAAACCCACCTCTTTCATCCAGACAAGAAGACCACTATGGTCTCCCCAAGACTAGCAGCTTGTCACAGGTACTTTTCTTTCTCCCTCTTTTAACTCTTGGGTCAGGGAATGAAGGAGCTAATATAGATTAGGGATTTTCCTCAGTTCAAGTCCCTGACTACTTTATTTACAGAGAACTAGACCAATTCATTAAGTAAAGTGAACAGGTACAAATGATCATCCAATAATGATAAAAGATAAGTAAAGTAAGAAATTAACTAGGAAATAGTAATAGCAGAATAATTTTTCTACCAGTTGCTAAACATTATAAATTAGAACTATTTGTTCCTTAAAAATGGTTTATAAAATTGACCAGTGAAGCCTTTTGTGCTTGGAGGTTTCTTTATGAGAAAACTTCAATTAAAAATTAAATTTTTGTAATTGAAATAGGGCTATTCAAATTAACTATCTTATTCTTTTTTTCAGCTTTATTTGTATATAATTGACACTAAA